GAGTAGAAGGAAGGTCTGCATACTAGAAGCATGATAAAGAGTGAGTGCAAGAGTCAAAGAGTAACAGCCATGTCAGATGGTCTCTTTGCAAATCAGAAGATGAAGAGGTTTCATGGTTTTTTGTTTGTTTTTGTTTTATTTATTTTTGAGAGGGTTGGTGGAAGAAGGAGGGGCAGAAAGACAGGGAGACAGTGGATCAGTAGTGGGCTCTGCACTTACAGCAGAGAGCCCGATGTGGGGCTCAAATTCATGAACCATAAGATCATGACCTGAGCTGAAGTCAGACGCTTAACTGAATGAGCCACCCAGGCGCCCCGAGGTTTCTGTGTTTTTAATTAAAGTATGAGGTAATGTCATCAAATGAGAGTGGTGGGAGTGATTGAAGTGAAGGTGTGAAAGTGTCCTTAAAAACAGGGGAAGAATGAATGGAGCGTAAGAAGGATACAATTTTATGAGCTTGAATTTAAAATGGAACAAGTGATTTTAAACAGGTTTGAGGAATGAAGTAAATAGGTTATTTACAGTAGCCAAATGATAAAGTCTGAAGCATGTGTCACAACCCTAAATATGTAATTTATTGCTGATAAGAGTAAAAAAAATTGGCATAATCCTTTTTAGAAAGTAATTCATCAATATGTTATTTACTTACATAAAAGTAACTGGGAACCAGAGACAAAACGGGAGTTTGGGAATTAAGCACACCTATGCTCAAATCACATCAGTCTTATTAGTTCTGTAAGCTTGGGTCTTTTCTGGAGGAAAAAGATGTCTGATCAGAACCACCGTAGGAAATACAGTTTCAGAATAAGATGGCAGCCAAACCAATTAGGTGACTTAATTTGAATCTTGTGAAATAAGTTGTAGCTTCATCTTGGCATTGCATTAAACCTCTTAATTATAAAAATGGCAACTTTAACAATTTTAAGTATTTTTAATAGCAAGTGGGAATGTTACAATGTATTTTCCAATATATTTTGCAATAAGCTTTTCATGTAGAATATTGCTATGCTTTTTTGATGAAGATGACTAAGCCTTAGATTCTCAGATGCTTTTTGAAGCAAATCAATTACTATTTTGTGAACTTATTACTAGTTCCTAACATAAGAAAAAATGTTCCAAAGACAAAATGCATGGCCTGAAGAAAAGATCATGTTACAAAGTTTACTCACTGGTGCAGGGTGAGATATTCAATGATATCAGATGATCAGTTGACTGGAAAAGAAAGATGGGAATATTGTAGAGGGATAATGACTCTGCCTTCTTACAGGCAGCAAAAATCTTGAGCCCAGCACCAAAGAAAACACAAAAACTGTGACAGGAACAGGACCAAGATCTATAAGCATCTTAGCCAAGATCTTCCTAGTTCCTGAAAAGGTTTGGCCGCACAAAGGAAATTTCAAAGAGCCCCAGTTTTATTTTAGGATGGTATGAATGCCCTATCAAGAGCATTGTGTCACATCACATGGTGACTGAGACATGTTCACAAAGCTCAGTTCATTGTTTTATTCAGATGAGCCCAAACCAACAAGCTCAAACTAGTGATAGCCCAAGTTTCAAATTCAAGGGGCTGTAAGAGTCATTGAAAAAAATAGCTCATGATTTATAATGACCTTTTGTCATTACAAGAACATGATCACTCTCAAGTATCTGTGTGAGCAGTCATTGGCCACTTTTGTAGAGTCATCAGAGTAATAGATTAATGATTTCCCAGAATAAGACTGAGATGACGTACAAGCCCATGTCATGGACAGCTCATCCACAGCCAGAGATCTTCATCTACGCTCGATAAAGCAAAAGTTCTTATTGATCCTGTACTGCAATGGCTGAATATGAATAGCAATAGGAGCCTAGAGGAGTTAAATGGTGACTGACCTACCAGAGTAAGCTACTGTGGTTTGGCTGGGTATAGGCCAATCCCAGTCTCCAGTGGGGAGATAAATCCAACCTTAATGTCTCAGGGATATAGCCAGGACAATTAGTATCTCAGGGATATAGCCAATAAGAATGCAATCCCTATTGGGCTGGACCTTCATCAGCAGCACCTGCTTTTAAGCAGGAGATAAATAATAATCCTAGTGCTCCATAACCCTTAATGGGAATTTAACTCCCTAAAGTCCTCAGCTGCACCAGACCTCATTCAGGCTCATGCCATGGTACCTAGTACCAAAAAGATATAATGTGTCATTGGGGTTTTATACACTGGCACATCCTGGGTTTGCCATGTCACCAACATGATTCAGTGATCACTAAAGTAGAAAGAGAGCAAAGAGAAGGTAGGATTTGGGGCCAAGAGGAGGATAGAGGGTTTCCTATCAATGTAAACACTCACAGTGTTTTTAACCCAAAACACAATACTTATAGTGTGAGTGTGTGTGTGTGTGTGAAATAGAATATATAAAAATGTTACTTCAGTTCACAAGGAATAACATGGAATATGTATATACATGAATTCAATAACATTATTTTGAAATACTAATGTGCTTTTTGTCCAAAAATTCAAGTCAAACTTCAACTTCAAATTCAAATTAATTTCTATAGCTATTTGTGATTTTTAAATCTAAAGGCAGAAATTTCTAGATTAGTCAATTTCAAAAGGAATCAGATGGCACCGTGTAGCTGTTAAGCATATGCAGAATGTGGCAGTCTGTTGTTTAGAGATTTTCTTTCTGACAGCTTGTCCAGGTCCATAAAGATCTAAAGAATTGTTTCAAAAATATGAGGTTCTAAATAAAGACCTAAGGAGTATATTGAGACTGCATTTGAATAAAAACAGCTATTTATTTAGAAATCCATTTACTGATTTAAGAGGTTGCTTGAGATGTATAATGGATGTAATTTGACTGGAGAGTAGTTAAAGTTATTGTACCAATTTTATTATTGAAAACTTTCCATGGGCTTATTATATAATTACTTTATATATATTAATATTATTATATTAAATAATATATAAATATTAATATAATATAAATATATATATTTATATTTATACAGGCAGGGTATTAGCTAAAGATATAGTTTTATTCTCTTGGCTTTTCTTATTCTTGTGTTTTGTGTTGTTAAATCCAGCAGTTTCAAATGGAGCTTGAAAATTTATTACAGTTCTTTCATTCATATCATTCTGTCTGCTATGATCTGAATGCTTAAGTGCCCCCAAAATTCATATGTTGAAATCCTATCCCCAAAGGTGGTGGTATTAGGAAGTGGGGGCTGAGGTCATGAGGGTGGATCCTTCATGAATGGGGTTAGTGTTCTTATAAAAGAGATCCCACAGAGCTCCTTTCCCCTTTTCACCAGGTGAGGACACAGTGGGAATGTGCCTACTATCAACAAGGAAGTGGGCCTTCCCCAGCCACTGGCATCTTGATCTTGGATCCAGTGTCCAGAAATGTGAGAAATAAATACCTGTTGTTTATAAGCCATCCAGCTTATGTATGGTATTTTGTTATAGCAGCCAGATAGGCATTCTCCTAACAGTTAAAGTTTCAAAGGAGGCATACTAAATTTTCTACCTCTGGTAAGAAAATAAAGAACACAAAAATAAAAATGGAGAGAACCCAAATAGCAAATTTTGTTTAAAAAGGCAAGCCTAGGCTTAATTTTTATTGATATTGCTTCTTTTTGCTCTTCCCCCCACCACACACACATACAGTTTTTCTATTCATTTTGGCGGGAGGTGGGGCAGGTAAATGAGGGACATGACTCTTCATTTTATGCTCACATGGTTTCTGGGTAACCTTTCGTAAAACTGATGTACTTCTCAGAACCTCTGGAGTTTTGCATCCATTTTTTTAATTTCCAGGCAAAAATGAAAGAGGCTTAAAATGCCCCAGAGAAACATCAACCTGAAACATCAATTATTATAGTAATACCATAGGTTGGTTGACATGTACCACTTTTTTTCCTCCTTAACGTTAAAAAAAAGTCTGATTTTCACTAAAATCTGACTCCTGTTCTATATATTGCTGTTTTGAGAAAGTCACTCAACATTTCTTCTTAAGGCAATGTTAAATAAACCCTTCCCTAATTTGAAGCATGAAAAGTCAGTGGTGTGGATTTAAATGTATGTTGCTATGATTTCACTAAGATCTATTGGAATCTTAGTAAAAGGCCTATGGTCTCACAATATTTTATGATACATATTTTGTTCAAGATATCCACCATCATCCTCTCAAAACTGTGGTAACTCCTAGAAGATCTCAAAAGCACTTTTAGACCAGGAGATCAGGAAAGACACACGTGCACACATCCACACCCACACACAATTACTCTAAAACAAAACAAAATAAAAATCATTACAAAATCAGCACAAGAGACAAAAGATTTTTAAGGTCACCATTTAGCAAAGTTGATATTCATAATAATTAGCCACCAACAGTGGTGGAGCATTATGGGAAGGTCTGGTGGTTTCCAGGGCAACCAGGAAAGCCCAGAGCCTCTTCAGGGTTCCAGGCAGCAGTCCGGTTTCCTGATTCAAGTGATTTCATTATGAGACCTGGTGAGATGATTCTCATCAGGAAGCTTTGCATTTAGTCATTCCCATAAATATTGGTGACACTACCTCATAAAGCTCTGAGGAGACTATCCCATATAATGGCAAAACTAGACAGTTTTTTCACCTCAGCAGCTTTGGGACAACTTTATTGAAAGCCTCTGCAGTGTCAGAGCAATATTCATTACAGCCTTTGTGGCTATGATATAGGAAATCCGTCCTCAGAGAATCTGTGCTCTCAGATACGGCAATGCGATTATTTAAAATCAGTCCAAGGAGATGGTTTTTCCCTTGTGTGATGACTATTTATAGTAACAGTAATACACCAAATCTTATAAGAGGTGTGTGTGTGTATGTGTGTGTGTGCGCACGCGCGCAAATCTCAGTGTTCCGTGGATGTCTCCTAATTAATCTGAGGACATGGCCTCACTTCCTATAATCATCTCAAGTGAGAAATTCAATGCCAATGCGTCATGCAACTGCGAAATTAGCCCTGAAAAGGCAGACAGACCTGAGCCCGTACAGCACCGTCCCATCAGGGTGAAGGCGGATCATGCGGTTTTTCACTGTCACTCCATGCACAAATGACTTTTTGTCATTTAAGAAATATGTGTCAGGCACCCATAGCTGGTCAGCCACTCGATTGTCAAGCGTGAGGTTGAGAGGGATCCCAGAATAGGCAAGCCTTTTATCTCTCCAATATTGTTGAAAATACATGGTTAAGGTGTAATCCTGGGGGGGGAAAGAAAAGGAAAAAGTTAGTTTGTGCTCAGCCACCGGCGTATTTCCTCCATGACTGGTCAAATTCAGGTTGGAATCCAGAAGAAGTGGGTATTATTTTCAGGCAGGGTTGGAAGCTTGGTTGCTTTCTTGTAAATGCAAATAAATACTAGGTTTAATAGGTATAAATCATGCTAATAAATCCTCTGTTTTAGAAAAAAAAATCCTCTGTTTTATTTAGACAAGAACCAGACTAGACAAATTGGCATTTAAGCAATAGCCACACAGACATAAGGGACAAAAAATAATTTTTAAAAAGTCATCATAATATCAGGTTGCTGGCAGGACCCTGAGCCCTCTCCTATGTCCTCCATCTCCCACCAGACACACATGTGTCTTCACCACCTATGGCAGAGGACCTCTATTTACAAATTCTCTCTGCAACATAAGCCTCTTTCCTCTCCTACCCTCTGAGAAGGCTGTAAATACAAACTCTGTAAACATACTTTGGCGACCCAATGACCTGTGGGAGGTCTCTATGCCTTATTCTTTTTTTCTTCTAGGACACCATTTCTATACTAACTAGGCCATATCATCACCTTGAGATGATGATACATTCGTCTGGGAAAAATGGGAGCCTGTAGCTAACGCTGGATATAGGAGAAGAGAAATGGACCATGGTATAACCCTCACAGGCTTGCCAACAAAATAAGCACATATCTAGGCAGATGATCCTACTGTTTTGGTTTGTTTGTTTGTTTGTTTGTTTTGGGATTTCTTTTGTAAAGTCATTAATGTAGTAAGAAAGAAAGAAATCAAGCTGAGCATGAAAATTCTATTTTTAAATTTCTATTCTTTTTGGCAATCAATATTCAAGTCTACAACAATCAAGTCTGAAAATTTGGTAATATTCATGGGACATCCTGAACCCCACTATATAAGAATCCAAACTGAAAACCCCACTATATAAGTATCTAAACTCTCCAACCAGGGAAGGAAAAAACACTGTTACATATAGGAACTTCTGAATTCACACACTTACAGGTATCTGAAAACATCCTGGCTTTGTGCACAGTGTGAGAGGGGATTGCAAATCAATTGAAGAATCTATCCTAGACACAGGTCTTATGACATCCTATGCAATACTCATTTTACTGACTCACAGGGCAGTTCTCAGTTCTTGCTAATCTAGCAATGCCTATTTATCACTGACCTCAAGAGTGTTAGAACATAGAAGCCTCTGAAATGTCAAAGAACACACCTGGATGTTTTTCTCCAGGTGCTCACAGGCAAGGAGGTGACAAAAACCAATGCATTATAAATAACTATAAATAGAATAAGTTTTAAACTATAAGGGCCATAAAAAATCAGAGGAGGGGAATCAAGAAAATTCAAATGGGCTGAGGAGTCTTTATAGAGGTTTCATTTGCAGCTTGAAGGAGAGATACTATTTGTGTAGATGAGAAGACACAGAGAGGAGTTCCCCACCCCCCAGGCACTTATATGGGCAGAGCTCTGTGCCTGGCATTACCTGTGTGAACTGTCCCCCAGCCCACCTCCCATCCTCACAGAGCAGGTAGCATTAAAGAAACACCTTGGTTAGCCAGATATTAGATAGGGAGCATGAAAAAAAAATCATATGAGGGTGCTGCTTTTATTGCATTGATGAGAATCCTTGAATAGTTCAGTTTTGCTGGAACTTAGAGTTCAAGAGGGGAAAAGGACAAAGTGGTCAGCAAGGCTGGATTCTGTGGCAGTGACCAAGAAGGTGGAAAAACTTGAATGTCAGCTCCATAGCCAATGAAAGTCATTGAAGGTTTCTTTTTTTTTAAATTTTTTTTTTTTTAACATTTATTTATTTTTGGGACAGAGAGAGACAGAGCATGAACGGGGGAGGGGCAGAGAGAGAGGGAGACACAGAATTGGAAACAGGCTCCAGGCCCTGAGCCATCAGCCCAGAGCCCGACGCGGGGCTCGAACTCACGGACCGCGAGATCGTGACCTGGCTGAAGTCGGATGCTTAACCGACTGCGCCACCCAGGCGCCCCCATTGAAGGTTTCAAGTAGCAACTGACGCAACCAAGTGTATTAATCTTGTCTTTTATTTTATGTTTTCCCATGTTTTAACATCTGGACCGTGGTTGACCTTGGAGGGACTTCTCTCCCTCCTCCAAGGGCTAGCTAATTCCTATACATAACAAACAATCCCATTAAGCTCTAAACTCCAAATTCAAACCAACCAATCCAGAGCTTACACCCCAAATGCCAGAGCTCACATCCCAAGTGCTTTCTGTATTGGGCTTTCACACTCAAGGCCAAAACATCATCTATGTCCAAGTACCAGGCAACTACAGACAGTCTAGACCATAGGGCCCACTTTAATTACTGAAACTAGCCAATCCTAAGCCTGTTTATCCAGCCTCCCCCATGCCCATTCCTTCCCATGGAAACCACCATAAAGGCTCTTGCCCACAGCTTCCCTTCTTTCCTGTGACTGACCCTGGTGCTTCCCTGTGTGCCTCACGTCCCCTGCAATGGATTGTGTGTCCCCTTCTCTTGGGGTCTGTGATTAACAAACTATCTTTTCAATGTCAGCTGCCTCTTGATCTGTTGTGTCTGCCATACCTAAATAATAATACAACTTATTTTAAACACAAAATTGTGGATCAGGAAAATCAGGTGTGATCAAATGGGTGGAGAGTGTTTGCTGGTGGGTGATAGGGAGAACAGGTGGAAAGGGGGTACAGGTTAAGGAAATCCTAAAATTTCACAGATATTAGGCTTGATGTGAATGGACCCACGAAGAGTGCAATCACATACCCTGCATTAGCAGAAACGATGGTTAATGTAGGTGGTGCATCTTTAACTAAAACATGCAAAGTTTTGGTGGCATAAGTTGGAAATCAGCAGTAGCAGCTAAAGGATTTTCAATTTGAATGTAATGCTCCAAATTACATTCTTATTGAAATAGAAGCATTTCACTTGCTTCTCTCTTTGGTTTCTAAGCCCACATCCTACGCCTGAGTCATGAAGTCTAGCACTTCTCCGAGTTTCCTTCCAACTTGCATTCATATGGGTTGCTGTGAGGTTGTAGGGAATGTGTCATTTTGCCCTGGGAACTCAGTTGTCATCAAACTTGGACTCTGGGTCTTGTGCTGTTCTCCACACAAGCAGCAGTACATCTCAATTTTGGTCTTGGGTTTTCTGAGGTGAGTTGAGTGGATTAGAGTTGGGGAGAGCTTATGTCGTACAGGGAGAAAACTAGTATTTAAATTCAAACCTGCTGTATCAGCTGTGCTTTCTAAAGCAATGGCATCATTACACCAGTGGGGACACTAGTCAGTATCCCACTTCTTTCTCCTGTACAGACTGGCAGACAAAGGAAAGGTGACAGCAGACAAGTCCAATCCTCCCTTTGCTCTCTTGTGCAGTTGGGGCAGTTAATGGGAGATTTTAGTATTAAGTGGGCCACAGTACTGACTCCTGTTTTGTGCAGTGGTGAGCACCATGCACGATAATGTCAGCAGCAATTAACATGCTCTGATCTCTTGGTATGTGCTAGGCCTTATGCTAGAGTCATTTAAATGTAAAACAGGGATTATCAGTATTCTCACTATCATCCCCCATCGATGAAGAAAAATGTTTTAGAAAGCTCAAGTAATTTGCTTCCTTTCCCCCATGCCCCAATAAATAGGAGTAACTTGGGGAAGTGGGATTTGAATTTGGGGCTCCCTCCCTGGAGGGTGTGACTCTCAACCTCAAAACAAAGCTCCTAAGGACAGAAGCTAAATAGTTCTGCATAATACACTGAAATGAGCTTGGTGGGAGGATAGTCTGCAAAGATATCTTGGTTACTAGAGAATCAAGTCATGTAAGATAATTCAGCTTTTGAGAGGAATAAGAATTGTGGCACCACTAAAGCCCCATCATTGCAAATATTTAGTACAGCTGCTATGTAGGCAAATGCCTTGTGAAAGTTTCTTTTCTTTAGGGAATCCCAGACAAGTTTATGTTTTCCACATTCAGAGGTCCCCAGGGTCTTCATAAGCCCTCCTCACCTTCTTCCTGGAGTGGTCACCACCAAATGTGGGGCAGCTTGGGGGGTGGGGTTTGAGGGAGATCAAAGAGAACAGGGCAGAGGCCTTGAAATGGCATTTCTCAAGTGCAGGGCTTTCAGGGGCTCCAAGGTTCATGGGGAATAGGAACTAGTGAGTCTGATACCAGTGGCGGATGCCAATGTCCTGGGCCTCTGCAGAGCTCACTGTGTCCTTGGCTTTCATCTTTCCTGCTCTGACCACATGATCCACTTGAGCACAGGGAGGCGTCTCCAGTCACACTGACAAGAAATCTCAGACACCAAAAGCTTCTGCTAGGGTGAGAGAAAATTGTAATGGTCTCTTCCTCTCCCATCCCTGCCCTTTGCAGGGGAAACTAAATCTCCTGTAGAGAGACATTAGGGAGGAGTGGGTGTGAGGAGGGGTGGGGATTAGGGAGGAGTGGACTGTGGGGAGAAGCTGGCATTAGAAGGTACGGGGATCAGAGCAGGTCAGAGTGAGAGGTGGGCCCAGGGTGAGGAAAATCAAGAGTCTGGAGGACAGAGGATCAATGGAATAGTGGACTTCTGGGAAGAAAGGGCAGCAGGGAGCAGCCAGGATCAGCAAGGAATGCAGAGGAACAAGGTGCAAAAAGGGGTGGGACATGGGGAGAAGCAGGAGTTTAGGAGAAACAGGCTCACGAGAGTAGTGGGTATCCAGGAGGGGTGGGACACAGGGAACCATCAAGTAAATTCCTTCACCATGCAGTGCAATGGGAACAGCCTCCAGAAATCTCACCCTGGGAGGGTGGGCTTAAATAGATTAGCACACAATAGGAAAAGACAGTCTGTTTCCTGGCACTGATCCTTGGCTATGGCACAACCAGCCATATCAGCACATTTAGACAGAGCATGCTGGCAGAAAGAGGAGGGGTGATGGCCAAGAGAGATCAAGATTTATGGAAATAGCTGCCAATGG